CACTTAGGACTAACATTTAACAGTAAAGGGACATGGTCAGATCACATTTCAAATATTTATAAGAAAGCGAACTCTAGACTAAGTATTCTTAGAATTTTAAAAACTACAGTTGATAGGAATACATTAAAAACATTATATGTCTCTTATATAAGACCTGTGCTAGAATATTCTGATATAGTATGGGATAATTGTACCAAATCGGAATCAGATCTTTTAGAATCAGTTCAACTAGAAGCTATGCGTTTAATTACTGGCCTCAGACGAGGTACATCTCATCATATTCTGTATACTGAAACACAACTTGAAACATTACACACACGAAGACAAAATCATAAACTAACATTAATGTATAAGATTCTTAATAATTACACTCCAACTTATCTCGATAATATCATTCAACCATTTCTAAATGTAAATAATAACTATACCTTCAGAAATAACAGATTCTTTAATATACCACAGACAAGAACTACTACTTATATGAATAGCTTCTTCCCTTCTACAATGGTAAAATGGAATGCACTTGATAGCACTGTACGAGACTCCATCTCAATTTCATCTTTTAAAAAGAAACTTAAAAAAACCTTTGATACATCCGTCTCAGAAACTTTTATTAACTGTGTTCCGAGGAAACTTAACATAATTTTATGTCAGCTAAGAAATTTTAAAAGTGATCTTAACTGTGATAAGTTACAAGACCATCTGATTGATGATGCTTCCTGTGTATGTGGTGTACAGAGGGAAGATCTAATACATTTTTTCTTTCAATGTCCTCTGTATTCTAATATTAGGCATCATATTACCACTATTTATAATCTAGTAGGATATTTAAATCTGCACTGTTTAGTATATGGTATTAGAAATTCATCCAACCAATTAAATAAAACTATTCTTATACATGTTGACTCTTATATTAAATCATCAAAACGTTTCGTTACTTATACGTGCTAGATAAATTTCCAAATGAATATTCATGTATTGTTATAATTATTGTTATTCAGGCAAGTTTTATCCCTTAAATAACGAGAATTTGGCATAAGCTGGTGTGGGTGTGGGTGTGCATGAGTGTGAGAGGAAACGAATCACAACAATTTATATATTTAAGCATTGTACATATCTACCGGAATTAGAAGAAGACTGATATAGGCAAAGCCTGTTGTCTTATTCTTTTGTCAATACTGTTCAAATATCTCCTTTAATGTTAACTTATATGTTTGTATTATATATGTATTGTCAATAAAATACTTTGAAAGTTAGTACTATTGTTATTTTTTGAACAAATAAGCTTACACTTTTTAACAATTTCATATTAAAAATTGTGAACATTCCTTTCATTTTATGTTGGTTTGGACTTGTATAAAAATAGGCCGGAATATGTTTTCCCCTTATTTTGACTAAAGCATCGTTATTACAAATATGTAAGTAATGAAACTCGACCCCAACACCAGTATTACAGAGTGGGCATATTCTGTCCTGTCTATGAATTCCCAACCATCTTCTTGTTTCTACTGGAAGCTTGATATTTGAAGTTATAAATTTGCAGATAATTTCCCTATCTTTTGCGTTTAATCGTATCAAATAGTCTTCTAAACCAAAGCGATATTTAAATGTAGAGTACAATCGTCCTCTGGATGAGGTGTCAATTTGATTAAACCAGGATTGAATAAACTGATCGTGTAATTTATGTATAATTGCAGCTTTTATCAACTTTCATTTTTGCTGGTTCCGGCTTAAGCTCTTGATCTTTTCTTTTCGTCCGTGTCGGCGAAAATATCACGAATCCATGAATACAATAGTCGTCTTCCCATTTTGTTTACATTGAATGCAATAGATCGTCTGCTTTTCGGCCTATCACGATTCATGACTGACGGTGATACATTGTTTGGAAGTAATGGCGATTATCTGGATGTGATCATTAACTCATACAGTAACAGCACAACATTAAATGTACATATTCATTTGAATTAACAACGTTTCATTAGTATCGCTATATACGCTTAATATCTATAATTGTAAAACAGGATCTAATTGCAAAGCCAAACGACACACTAACCACCGAATTTATTTTGCCAATGATATCAAATTCTTTCAACTCGACAAAAATTGATATCCTTCACGCTGTGCTAGACATACAAAAAGTAATATTTGTCGTTGTGTAAAACAATACTTTTGGTATAGACCAATCAGAACGGTTCATTCGACGACGCAGATAATCTGCTCCGATACAGATATTACGAAGGTAGGATTAGTGGTTGTTTTGATACATCTCTGTCAATGTATCTATTTACCTACATAATTCACCCCTGTATGTCAGGGATTAAGAACATATCTGTTTGTATCGTGAGAGGCGACTTATGATAGAATCCCCTGCAGAATTTGGGATTTACTTTTGTGTCCTCTACGTATACTTGCATGGGGACATAAAAGCGACGAAAGTATTGGGGTCTTTATACTTCTCTCTACTTCTAGCGACCTTTAATTTCCTAGCGCTTTGCTTAAACCTCATTTCTGGCTTTAACTTTGAACGTTCGCCCAGGTGGGAAAGGAAATTGGTTCTGTCCCAAAGCCGGGGCATACTAACGTTAACGTCTTTAAAATGGTTGTTGTAATTCCTGCATAACGTTTGCGTTAGGGTAATGCAACAACTTGTTCACCCGTTGTCAGGGTGTCTTCGGCATTGTTTTTCAGTGAGATAGCACTATAAAGTCGGTATCAGATCCGCTCTATCACAAGGAGGCGAATAACGCAATATGCCCTGCATCCAGCAGAAATACTCACATGCACGCATACACAACAAATATAGAGCCACGTCCTTAAATGACAGTAGCTGTTGATACTGTAGGACGTTAAACCCTGTATAACCGATTTTACTAACCAACCTACATAATTAACCATATATATGTAAACAAAATTTGTTAATTTAATTGCAGAAAACGATATAAACTGTATTTTAAATAGGTAGCCAACAACAAAAAATCCCGCGCAACGTCGTTGTCAAATCTGACGTCATTAACATATGATACCAAAAATTACGCTATTTAATCCTCATCTGTTTTGATACAGTTACATTTTCGTAGTTAAAATATAATCAAGAGAAAAAAATACAGTTTTCCCGTTGAATATTGGTATGGCACAAAATCTAACTAGAAATTGTTGGCTAACAATTTGACGGGATTTCACCATTAGGACTGATTTGGGTTTGATCGTGGTCTTTTGACCCTAACAATTACTAGATATTTCTGAAACTTTCCTTAGAGCAAAGCTGCGACTTTGAGTAAGAAAATGTGCAGTGTTTGTAGTCAATGAAAATTAAGTTATACCAAGTATCAGGCATGAACTTGTGCAAGTCTACAGTAGCTGACTGAGAAGTAAGGGATTCCCGGAGTAGAGAAAGAATGGATAAATATAGGCAGCCAATGGGTGGTGCTGACGAAGGTAGTCCGTCAAAAAGTCATATAGTCCTTCAACTATGTACATCAGGGTGATGAATTGAAACTAGCATTTTGTCTATATCGGTTCGGTTTGCCATGCAAAATGAAGGCTGATGATACCCACTGCAGTAGAGATGTAAACAAATTTAAAGTCGAATTATTTTAAGATTTGCAAAACTTTTCCACTTTGTCTTCGTATGTTATGATAAAAACACACAACTAATCGAAACAAAAGTATTAATTATTATTAATCTAGATGTGAAATTATGATTATTTCATCATTAAACAACCAAAATGATTCGACATGGACTCCGTCTCGATTAATATCGCTTTCTATGATGTATATACATATATATATGTAACTACACATGTACGTTTTCGCCTCAACAAAAGTCCATAATAAATAAATATTAACCTGCTGTTTTGTTAACGGAGTGAAACCTATACCATATAGTCAGTATTTCAAACCGCTGGCCTCCACGTGATTAGTATCTATAACCATTTAGGCTGTAGGGAAAACAGTTGTTTCATTGTTACAGGGGTTGGTAAACGAAGTATTATTATTGCTGTAACAATATTTCGAAATAGTTTTTTCAATGTTAAAATGTTGGCACAGATTGGAGAGTCCTGATACAAAATCACACCAAACTTTGCTATATGAAGCACTTCTGTGTTCAGAAGATCTTCATAATACAAAAACACTTTCTTAGTTTGGATCAATTAAGGTATTAATAGAACAATTACATGTAGGTTGTTCCCTTGGTGATACTGTATCAAAAACATGTTCACACATAATTTCAGATGTGTTTTTTTTAAACATAAACTTAGATTATGTTACTTGGTAGAATGGACAATTAAACGCAAACCCCTGTTAGACGGTAAATTATCAACATATTTCAAGTTTAAATCTAACTTTGAATTTGAAAACTAGTTATCTATTGTCGAGAATTTTCCTATAGAATATATATAAGTCGGTTCAGAATCTCTGCTCATAGACTTTTTATAGAGCTAGGTAGATACCAGAACATCTCCAGGAAAACAGACACTATCAAAGTTGGATACCTCTAATATTGATGATTAGGCCCATTTTCTTCAAAAGCGTAATGTATAAATTTGAAGAACCGAGGAACGCCTTGATATCTATTATAAATAATTCTTCTGCTAATTTTACTAATCTAGACCGAAGATAAGTTTGTCTGGCTTTTGAATACTGAACAATTGACAATATTGCAGGAACTGGGAAAATGTTTGCATAAAATTAAACTACACTATACTGTAGTGGAAGGGCGATAACTCAGGGTAGGAGGAAACGTTCTAAAACATGTTTAAGGGGAGATAACGCATAATTGTACAGTACTGTAGACCTTTGGTGCATGTAGATCTAGTCCCTTTTTGGTCTCTTCATTAGATACTGTACTGTATCCATTTGCCCATTTTCCTATCTTTCCTTCGTCTGCTGGATAACCGAACAACTCGGTAGTGAAGCGGTCCACTCAATCAAACATTACAATATCTTTTCTCTCCCAGTTTCTCTGCTTTTGACCGGGTCGATCGTTAGTGTTACAATGCGGGTTAACGTTACCAGCGAGCCGCAGCCACTGTAACAGGACGGGTAGCTTATGTGCGAAGGAGTCTACAACTCATGTCACTGTGATAGCTGGTTACATAAGACGTACGTAGCCCACATATTCAATTTGTCACAAAGAAATGTATCGCTTTAAATTTCCTGTTTATATAGTTGTGTGACGGTATTCAGAATAATGTAAAAAGTTCTTGATAAATTATAGAGTCACCTCGTCCCACTCGGGGATGGGGTGGGGAGGGTCCGTCTTACAATATTCTAATGCAAAAAAAATCGTCAAACCTTAACGCGGATTAGCCACATGGGTCTGATAATCTATCAATATATAATTGAAATAGAAATATGATAATAATCTTCTATCTTTAAGCTAATTTAAGGGTGTATACTTTGCCTTTTTATACAGTATATATATATATACGATTACATTGATTATAGACAGAATGACATAATCGTGTGCATTGACGAACGTTGTTCTTAACCATTAAATGATCTATAGTGTGTTGAATTCGATTATCATTTGTGTTGGGTAATCAGTTAGATATCAACTAAATTGGATAAGCTCTAACGTTGATATGGGTCGAATTGTCTTAGTGTAATTGCAGCTGTAGGCCTAACGTTCTACTACTAGACGTTAGACTACATTCCATTTAGCTCATTTTTTTGGGGGAAAGGTATATTTTGTTATGGCAACATATGCTATTTTTTTCACAGTGACGTTTCACTATAGGCCACCATGTTAAAATACACAGGTGTTGGACACACTAACATGATGTTTATACTGTATTTTCTATAAAGCACCTGCGTGAAAATACTAGCTGCTTCCTACCAACTTGGTTAGGGAGAAGTTCTTTTTAACTCTTTGGGTCGATTGTAAAACCATGGAATTAGATTAGATTGCTATCTTAATCAGTGGTAAGACTACTAGTAAACAAGACCAGGTTCGAATCTTAGTGTATTAACTTTACGTTTATATAGCAGCCTAGGAATATGAGCTGAAACACTGCTGGGATTTCCCAAAGAGTGAGAGGAAACACTGCATTACTGGCAAGCTCTATAGCTTTTCCAGCGATGCAGTATAACCCTCGCATGTGCTTACTAGTTCAGCAACGTTGAGCGTACGTGTAATCAGTGGCTGGATGGGTGACAACCCGCAGGTTACATTTTTTGGCAGTGTGGAGACCCTGTGGTATCATGTTTTGTTTAATTTCCGATAGCATCATATTGGTGTACATGTATAATGACAGACGAGGCTAGTACCTCTGGTTGGACAGGGAAATGCATTGGCATACAGAGATCGTGGGCCCACAGGAAGCCAAGTCTTGGGACAAGACTTCTCAAAGAGGAGAATAGTGTAAGCAGCTAAAGAATATTAGGGGAAAATATTGCTTTACTGGCAAGCTAGATTTTCCAGCGATGCAGTATTACCCTTCCACATGCTCACTTGTTCAGCAACTTTGGTGTGGTCAGTGGATGGATGGGTGCTACACTTACACATTACACTAGCGGAGAGGCATTACTAGTAAAAGATATACATCTGTTACATCATGTCATTGGCACCCACATAGGCAGTGTTTTCTCCAGAAGGGAGGATTCTGTATAACCCCAAACAAATTTTATATTCTGCCTTTATCACACGACCAATCAACTTCTTCTAATTTTCCTTCCTTTATCTTCATGTATTTTCTTGTTCTTGTTCTGGTTCTGGCTCTGGCTCTGGTTCTTCTAATATGATCTTGTCCGGGCCGTAACTTTATGTAAACCGATAAAGATATCTTGATGAAACTTTAAGTATTCCTCCATCACTTATAGACGATGTGCAGTGCTCTGTCATTGTGTCATTGAGACCTTGACCCCAAGGTCAAAGGTCAAATATGTGCAAATATTTCAGCAACATCGATCTTGTCCGGGCTGTCACTTTTAAACCATTCAAGATGTCTTTATGAAACTTGCAGTGTAACTGCATCACCCAAATATGATGTGCAATGCAGTGTCTTAAGGTCACTGTGGTCTTTACCTTGAGGTCAAAGGTAAAAAAATACTGTGGACTTTACCTTAAGGTCAAAGGTAAAAAAAAGTATAATTGTTTCAAACATTTAGAGGTGTATGCTAAGGTGATGCCAACAGTCCCTCACTGTGTCAAATTTTGCTTGAACTTAATTAGTATGGAAGTATATGATGGCATTGTAAACTCTATCCAAGCATCATTTGCAACTATTGGGTTTGTTTTGAGGACTGCTCTAATGGTCCCCATTACAATTAAAACTTGTTCATATATGCGTTTTATAATTAAACAGTAGTTAAAGTTATCCTGATAAAACTTGCAATGTATCTGCATCACCCTCAAACTATGAACAGTGCACTGTCCTTAGGCCATTGTGACCTTGACCTCAATGTCAAAGGTCAAATATTTGCAAATTTTTCAGGAATATCTTGTTTTGGTTGTATTTACTTTTAAACCGTTTAAGGGGAGACATGTTTTTGCTCTCAAAAACAAATCTCTAGTTGTCCACTTAAATGATGGAGACACAATGTGCAACCGTTACTTTGCTTCATCACCTCTCATTACATGAAGGTGAAAGAACAAAAATTTGAATGAGTAGAACAAATACAATGTACTATGAGTAGACACAGTGTGGGGAAAATGTATTGTGTCATTGTAGGTGTCTGTCTGTCTTTTGTTGGTCCGAGTTTCCTCTGGCCCTGACACAAAACTTTGACATTTTAACAGGTAGATATCTGGTGTGGGGCCCCCACACCAGACATGTCCAAGTCTGGTGTTAGGGCCAGAGGAACTCGGCTAGTCATCTGTGTCATCATCATAACATGACAGTCATCTCTTACCGTCTATTTTGCTGAGGATATTTTCCTTTTATTATAATTATAAGCTTAATAAATTCAGTAGCACACTAGGCTATAGCCTGAGTTCCTCTGGCCCTGTGGATAGTGAACCGGAGTGAACCAGAGGCCCCAATTTGATCCCTAGCAGAGGTATTGAAATACATTAGTTGACCACTAGCTGTTACAATATTATAGTTAACAGTTGTGCAGTACCTGTAGTGAACTGACAAACACTTTTCTAGAAGTGTACTGTGTTAAACGAGGATCATAGTCATGATCAGTGGTCACAACCTCTTAATCAGGTTTTGTTGAAATATGCAATTGTGGCAGATTTTAATTGTACATAGGATTATGGTCGCCTTCTAGCTTCAAGCTAGAGGGAATTTCCCTTTAGCTCAGTGGTAGAGCGTCCGATTAGGAACCTGGAGATCGAGGGTTCAATCCCCGGTGGAAGCACATAATTCTCTTTCCTGCTACAAATGGTGTCTGTGGCCCTCCCTGTGGTGAGAGAGAGTTAGAACCTGGGTTGTTGTTATATAAGTTGCTGAGGGTCAGTCCTACTACAATTGTACATAGGATTAAGGTCGCCTTCTAGCTTCGAGCTGCGGGTGGTGCAGTCAAATGGCACCCACTGCTGGCGGTGCAATCGGAGGTCATCCACTGCGGGTGGTGCAGTCGGATGGCGCCCACTGTGGGTGGTGCAGTTGGATGACAACCACAGCTGGTGGTGCAGCGGATGTCAACCACTGCGGGTGGTGCAGTCGGATGGCGCCCACTGTGGGTGGTGCAGTTGGATGACAACCACAGCTGGTGGTGCAGTCGGATGTCAACCACTGCGGGTGGTGCAGTCGGATGGCACCCACTGCAGGTGGTGCAGTCGGATGACAACCACTGCGGGTGGTGCAGTTGGATGTCAACCACTGAAGGTGGTGCAGTCGGATGACAACCACTGCGGGTGGTGCAGTCGAATGGCACCCACTGCGGGCGGTGCAGTCGGATGACAACCACTGCGGGTGGTGTAATCGGATGACAACCACTGCGGGTGGTGCAGTCGGATGTCAACCACTGCGGATGGTGCAGTCGGATGACAACCACTGCGAGTGGTGTAATCGGATGACAACCACTGCGGGTGGTGCAGTCGGATGTCAACCACTGCGGGTGGTGTAGTCGGATGTCAACCACTGCTGGTGGTGCAGTCGGATGGCACCCACTGCAGGCGGTGCAGTCTGATGGCATCCACTGCGGGGGTGCAGTCGGATGGCACCCACTGCAGGCGATGCAGTCGTATGCCTCCCACTGCGGGCGGCGCAGTCGGATGGCACCACCCACTCTAGGTGATTGAGTGTTCCTTTGTTACATTAGTAATTTTTCTCTTGCTTCAGTCTGTTTAAACAAGTATCGACAGCAGCGTATATATACAGAGAGAGAATACATACTTGTTTTTATACATTCATGCAATGTTTAAGTTGAATATGCAGCTAGAATACAAAATAAATTATACACTTGTAATGATGTTTTGTACATATAATGATATATACATAGTAGTGGTTCTGAGTCTGAATTGTATTTGAAACTTCATAGTGCTACTGTCCCTGGTTAGCAAAAACCTGTAACAGTATTGTCAGTTAATGAATATTTAATAAAACAATTATGCTTTAGGCTTCAAAATCAATAAACTTTATATATTCAAATACAGTAGGTGATCATGAATAACATATGAATGGAAAATGTATTATCAGACCTTGTTACTATACATTTCTGAACGATGTGTCAACATGCCTAATGGAATGATGGGTGTGTACTGAGGAGTGCTTCAGTGTAATATACCGGTTATATATGTAGAGATTCTGTCAGTGAATGGTGTGTCATCTCAGGCAGGGTATATATATGCATGTATATAAGAGTCAGTGACTGTTAATTTACATGATCAGGTCATCAGCAGGTTTGAACTTTTACTATTTGTAATTTATGAAATGAAAGCTGATTTCAGAACATCACTAGTAAATTCAATAATTGATGAGTCACTTAAGGTTGCCAGTAGTTACCAACACCCATGCATGCAGGCTTGTAACTTCAGACTGGATATGTTTTGTTCAACTTGACTTTGAGATATATGTGTAGCCTTTCGGGAACTAGACTGGATCAATCAATATCGTCAGCGTCTAGTAAACTCATTGGTAGAGAATCTGTCTTGAGTTGAGGAGGTCCTGGGTTCTAATCCCAGTCTGGCCAGGCATTTCTCAATCTCCTGTTACCAAGTTGGTTCTCCAACCCTAGTTTAAGTTTCAAGCTGTGTGTGAATTCTTGGCAAGACGATACCCAAACCTGGATTGTAAATAGTTGTGTCTTTGAGGGCAAAGACTTACAAAAATAGGGAAGTACCTTTATGTAAAGGATGTTCATTGTATATCAGAAAAATAGTGGAGTACCTTAGTGTAAAGGATGTTCATTGTATATCAGAAAAATAGTGGAGTACCTTAGTGTAAAGGATGTTCATTGTATATCAGAAAAATAGGGGAGTACCTTAGTGTAAAGGATGTTCATTGTATATCAGAAAAATAGGGGAGTACCTTAGTGTAAAGGATGTTCATTGTATATCAGAAAAATAGGGGAGTACCTTAGTGTAAAGGATGTTCATTGTATATCAGAAAAATAGGGGAGTACCTTAGTGTAAAGGATGTTCATTGTATATCAGAAAAATAGGGGAGTACCTTAGTGTAAAGGATGTTCATTGTATATCAGAAAAATAGGGGAGTACCTTAGTGTAAAGGATGTTCATTGTATATCAGAAAAATAGGGGAGTACCTTAGTGTAAAGGATGTTCATTGTATATCAGAAAAATAGGGGAGTACCTTAGTGTAAAGGATGTTCATTGTATATCAGAAAAATAGGGGAGTACCTTAGTGTAAAGGATGTTCATTGTATATCAGAAAAATAGGGGAGTACCTTAGTGTAAAGGATGTTCATTGTATATCAGAAAAATAGGGGAGTACCTTAGTGTAAAGGATGTTCATTGTATATCAGAAAAATAGGGGAGTACCTTAGTGTAAAGGATGTTCATTGTATATCAGAAAAATAGGGGAGTACCTTAGTGTAAAGGATGTTCATTGTATATCAGAAAAATAGGGGAGTACCTTAGTGTAAAGGATGTTCATTGTATATCAGAAAAATAGGGGAGTACCTTAGTGTAAAGGATGTTCATTGTATATCAGAAAAATAGGGGAGTACCTTAGTGTAAAGGATGTTCATTGTATATCAGAAAAATAGGGGAGTACCTTAGTGTAAAGGATGTTCATTGTATATCAGAAAAATAGGGGAGTACCTTAGTGTAAAGGATGTTCATTGTATATCAGAAAAATAGGGGAGTACCTTAGTGTAAAGGATGTTCATTGTATATCAGAAAAATAGGGGAGTACCTTAGTGTAAAGGATGTTCATTGTATATCAGAAAAATAGGGGAGTACCTTAGTGTAAAGGATGTTCATTGTATATCAGAAAAATAGGGGAGTACCTTAGTGTAAAGGATGTTCATTGTATATCAGAAAAATAGGGGAGTACCTTAGTGTAAAGGATGTTCATTGTATATCAGAAAAATAGGGGAGTACCTTAGTGTAAAGGATGTTCATTGTATATCAGAAAAATAGGGGAGTACCTTAGTGTAAAGGATGTTCATTGTATATCAGAAAAATAGGGGAGTACCTTAGTGTAAAGGATGTTCATTGTATATCAGAAAAATAGGGGAGTACCTTAGTGTAAAGGATGTTCATTGTATATCAGAAAAATAGGGGAGTACCTTAGTGTAAAGGATGTTCATTGTATATCAGAAAAATAGGGGAGTACCTTAGTGTAAAGGATGTTCATTGTATATCAGAAAAATAGGGGAGTACCTTAGTGTAAAGGATGTTCATTGTATATCAGAAAAATAGGGGAGTACCTTAGTGTAAAGGATGTTCATTGTATATCAGAAAAATAGGGGAGTACCTTAGTGTAAAGGATGTTCATTGTATATCAGAAAAATAGGGGAGTACCTTAGTGTAAAGGATGTTCATTGTATATCAGAAAAATAGGGGAGTACCTTAGTGTAAAGGATGTTCATTGTATATCAGAAAAATAGGGGAGTACCTTAGTGTAAAGGATGTTCATTGTATATCAGAAAAATAGGGGAGTACCTTAGTGTAAAGGATGTTCATTGTATATCAGAAAAATAGGGGAGTACCTTAGTGTAAAGGATGTTCATTGTATATCAGAAAAATAGGGGAGTACCTTAGTGTAAAGGATGTTCATTGTATATCAGAAAAATAGGGGAGTACCTTAGTGTAAAGGATGTTCATTGTATATCAGAAAAATAGGGGAGTACCTTAGTGTAAAGGATGTTCATTGTATATCAGAAAAATAGGGGAGTACCTTAGTGTAAAGGATGTTCATTGTATATCAGAAAAATAGGGGAGTACCTTAGTGTAAAGGATGTTCATTGTATATCAGAAAAATAGGGGAGTACCTTAGTGTAAAGGATGTTCATTGTATATCAGAAAAATAGGGTAGTACCTTAGTGTAGAGGATGTTCATTGTATATCAGAAAAATAGAGGAGTACCTTAGCGTAAAGGACGTTCATTGTATATCAGAAAAATAGGGGAGTACCTTGGTGTAAAGGATGTTCATTGTATATCAGAAAAATAGGGGAGTACCTTAGCGTAAAGGATGTTTATTGTATATCAGAAAAATAGTGGAGTACCTTAGTCTAAAGGATGTTCATTGTATATCAGAAAAATAGGGGAGTACCTTAGTGTAAAGGATGTTCATTGTATATCAGAAAAATAGGGGAGTACCTTAGTGTAAAGGATGTTCATTGTATATCAGAAAAATAGGGGAGTACCTAAGTGTAAAGCTAGGATGTTCATTGTATATCAGAAAAATAGGGGAGTACCTTAGTGTAAAGGATGTTCATTGTATATAAAAAATAGGAGAGTTCTGTTCAGTTTTACCAATTTGGATCCCTTGCAAAAAAGATGAGGAAACACAGTGGTTAAGTTCAAGTTTTGTTCAAGTGGCCAGAATGTGTAGACAATTCAAGATATTTTAATAAAAAAAAGGTTTACCTGAAAATGTAACATCAAGCTTAATACAAGGTTGGTTGGTTGACGGGTTTATCGCTTACATGACTCCACCCATGCAGGTTTTGTCTCATTGACGGAGGTCAGCTTATATATAATACAACTGATCATGACTGAACTGTTTTTATACCCCCACCATTTTATGGGTCAGACATATATGGTGTTTCCTATGACTGTCCCGTCCTGTCCTTTTGTGATTCATTGTCATGACTATCTATACTTCATTTCTTAACAGATTTTCCTGAACGTTTGTAATACATGGTCCAAAGGTCGCGCCAGCACCAAAGTGATTATTACTATTAAGGGTCAAGCATAGGGCAATTCAAGGTGGCATTCATGTGTTACAGACATTTGCTAATTATTGAAATATATATACCGAGTCGAATCTGCTCAAGCGACCAAATATAAACAACCATCTGTTTCATGCACCCACTTTTTATTCCTCCAGACTGTTTTTTCTATGTAATTTAACTGTATTAAGCGACCATCTGTCGAAAGCAACCAGCAACCATATTTTCCTTTGAACTTACTTATTTATTTCTTATATATATATATTATCCTTACGGACGAAGAAATAATATAAAAAGAAAAAAATCCCAACGAGTCTTAAGTACTTTCATCTTGTCAAGACGATTCTTCAGACTAAAGAATCTCCTTCACGAGATGAAAGTACTAAAGACTCGTTGTTGAGATTTTTTCTTTTTGTATTATATATATATAAATATGGTAACACATATAGGTTTTGTGATGTTTTTGACACCTTATGTTATAAATTTATGATTTCAAGTGGTCTAATAATACCCACTTGAAAATGGGACTTCATCATTGCAGCATTGTAATTATGCCATTGATATGGAATGGACAGTTAAGCTTGTGTTTAAAACAGACAGGTTAGCTGTACACTTTTGCTCTACACCCATGGAAAGTGTTGAGCTAGTTTGACAGTACACAGCTACATGTAGCTATATAGCTCCCTGCAGTTTGAGTGGCCATGGTCTTTGGCAAAAAAACACCTGACTATTCCCTGGGCTGATACCTGTCCTTTGAAGATTACAGAGGAGCAAGATCTGACTTCAAAGTGATCAGTCAATTCTACCATTAGGCAGCTTGACTGTACCTTTTAACAAATGTCACAATTCTTTTTTCATCTTAAATTGTACTATATTTCTGTATTACAGGTGTAACCTATGAAGATACCCAGATAATTTTCACCTGATTGTCACCTGCAAGTACAAGTATTCCCTGAATGAAGATCATCATAATCTCAATATTATCTGAGCACAGAGATTCATCAGTAGGTAATAATTGGAATTAACCATGTTCTCCCAAAAGCCGAGGAATCGGGAATTGACAGCCACCCATCAACAGTAGGATGTAAGATACAGGAAATATTGATATAATTACTATGACTAAAGTTGTTGCGAGGCCAGGGTCTGCGCGGACTCGGGCGCTGCGACTGTTGGCTGAGAACCATTCCAACACTGAATTAGTCACGCCTTGTCGTCTGCTGCTGGTGTTTATTGTTTCTTCAATCATGATTGCAGGTAAATAAAACTGTGCAGTAAACTGTTACTGTCCATGTTTTTGGTTTGTTTGTGTTTTACGTCCTTTTAACAGTTAAGGTCACTTAAGGACGTGCCAGGTTTTGGTGGTGGAGGAAAGCCGGAGTTCCTGCAGAAAAACCACCGACCTACGGCCAGTACCTGACAACTGCCCCACGTAGGCCTCGAATTTGAACCTGCCACCCAAGTGGTGGAGGGCTAGTGGTAGCAGAATATCAGACGCCTTAACCACTTGGCCACAGGGCCCCCCAGGCCTGTTAATGTTACTGACCATGCATGGATCTAGATCTGTTTTGTTGACAATGTAAAGGTCACCACTTTCACAGAGTATTTAATAATTACCTTATTATTGGAGGAATATTTCTTTATTTTTGTATGTGCCTTTATATATATATTTATACCCCATCGGAAAAATGTTGAAGACTGGAAACTCTGTCTTTGTGGGTATTTTTATCAGATAGGGAAATGTTTATTGATTATCAAAACAATATATCTTCATATATTGTCAAAACTTCTGATGTTAAAATCTAACTCACATATATACTTATAAATATATATAATATATATCCTTTCATAACAGACATTTGTTTTTAAATTATTCAATTTAATATACATGACAATAGATAAATATTGAATGTATTCTGGTTTTAGGTAGTATAGATTGTGATATAGAAAGATTCTATTGTATAAATATAAAGATAATTTTCAATTAAAGTTTCCAATCACACTCTAAAGCAGGAGATTGCCTTTAACCAGTCAAAATAATGTTGTGTCAGGTAATTGACTGAATATCGCCATCTGATGTATGTGGTATTTACACTGTATAATGTGTTGTCAGAATCAATATTGTATTGATACATCCCCAGTATCACTGGTAAAACTGTGCTAAAATTACATCATTATTATTAATTATATGTGCGTACATACTTTAACAATGTTGGTTGTAGGCATTTCATTCAGTGTTGTCCCAGAGGATTTCCAAGATGGATCTCTAGAGGAGGTGATCAACTTGACACAACAGCCTTACACATTTAACCACGAAATGGCAATGAAGGAGCGGGAATACAACCTAGAGTATTACCAGAGGCCACAGCACAACTGGAAGGTGGAGCGAAGATCGGGACTGTCGGTCAGCGAATTCTTCGACACCTATGATGCTAAATGGTAATAAAATCAGAACACTGTTGATTATAACACTAGTAACTTAATAGCAAATCAGTTCTTTTTTCAATGGATATTTTCAAAAGATAACTCTTTAAATAAGTTTGTTGGAATGGTCAAGTCAAGTCAAGTAAATTTTATTTAAAAGTCGGTACATGGTTAAACAAGGCAACACAAGCCTATTGAAGGCTTTTACAACCGACTATATAACAAATAAAAACGGAGGTAGCATCATATAAAACATAACAAGCATGCAAATCTATGACACTGTTAAAACACACATTGTTAAACATATAAAAGATAGGTAGTGTGGTATTTATAATTGTCCAGATAAGGAAGTGCCTGTTAATTCCTTAGATATGAATAAATTACTCCGTTCATTTTTGCACTAAAACCTTAACAATTATTTAATTCATCAATTCATCAAATCTTTTGCAAGTAAAGGAGCTGACTCTTCTAGGGGCTGCGGGACGGGATGAAATATGTCAAATTAGCTGAATTGCTTTAAATGACCTTTACTTATAAACTACTGAGCACATTTGAACTAAATTTTAAAGACAGAATGCAAAGTGCAAAGGGTTCAAATGTTACACAAATAAAGTGACTACCTCTAGATCTCCTAGGGGCAAAGTGGTCGGGTCAGAGTGGTCGGGTCAGAGTGGTCGGGTCAGAAGGGGTCACATGGACTGATTTATTATAAATCCATCTCTGTCATTTATCTTCAACCTTTCATTTTAAAGACTACGTAAAAATATATATTTTGCTAGATAGGCTAAAGGGATCTTGCTAAATTGAGGAAAGAGTTTCTAGATGGCAAGTGGTTTCTGAGTGAGTGTTATATAAGTAAACACTGTAGCCGCCCTTGGGACAGAGGAATTGTGTCCAATATTGGAACTGGACAGGGGGTGAATCCTTCTAAGGTGTTCATAAAGAGATTTAAAGTAAATTTAGCGTGGAGCACCCCAACTTTTTCCTGGGGATTTCAACGTATTATGAATGAAAGTTTATATTAATCCTTGTGATTGTGGTAGAAGGGTGGAGTCCAATATGGGATAAAGGTAGACATTTTAAAGACCTATCATTCTTTCTGGTGGTAGGATTTGTACCTGTTTTTTGCATGGAACCACTTTGGGCCATGAAAGATTCAATGTTGCAGTAGTGTAAAAGATTAGGCAATCATTAAGAGGAGAGGGGGCTTGAACTTATTCAATACTACAAACAAAAAATATACATGTACATGTATTATAAAAACTACCAGCTTATTTTACAGCTGAATTCTAAATTCAAGACATGGCATAAGACAATATAAGATATACGGAAATGCAATAACCTTCAGGGACTGTTCCACCGACTGCAGCAGTCAAGGTCGTTGATACTATTTTCAATGTTTTGTCTTTGGTCTTTTAATGGAACCTTGATTTGAATTGATACACATGAAAATTCCTGAATATGTCTGGTTTGGCAGTACCTCAAATCATTTACTATGTACAAGGATATTTGAATAGTTTGCAGTGCATTGATCACCCTTGAACAATTCAACTTGGGTACAAAATGTTCTTTAATATTAAGACAATTTAAAAAAAAAACTTTCTGTTGTAAAATATACCATTACATGCAGCTCAATAACTTTATGAGTGGAATAGGGGTGGTAACTCAATACAGAACTAATTTTAAGGTATCATGATACCAAAGTTTCCAAAGCAATGTATTGTCTAAGGCATTGGTTATATCAGAGAATTGTTACGTTGTTTAAAAAAGTTTTTTTTACAGTAGTCAGGAATACAGGAATGCTTCAAATCTGTGTCAAACAACAAATAGAAAAAAAATTATCATAAAAAAGTTGTATGTATAATTTACTGATGTGTACTTTTTTGTGTCCAGGCCAGTGATACTTACAGATGTGGTTTCTAAGTGGCCAGCCATCAACTGGACAAAAGAAGTTTTCATACAGAAATATGGCAAGGAGCGTGTGGTGATGAAGGCAGTGGTTGTAAGTATATAATCTTAATATCTGGTCGATACAGCTCTTCAGAACAAGTAGATCAGCTGTCACCCCCTAGAGTGTGATTTATCTGTCACCCCCTAGAGTATGATTGATCTGTCAACCCCTAGAGTATGATTGATCTGTCACCCCCTAGAGTAGGATTTGTCTGTCAACCCCTGGAGTATGCTTTATCTGTCACCCCCTAGAGTATGATTTATCTGTCACCCTCTAGGGTATGATTTATCTGTCACCCTCTAGAGTATGATTTCTCTGTCACCCCCTAGAGTATGATTTATCTGTCAACCCCTTGAGTATTATTTATCTGTCACCCCCTAGAGTATGATTTATCTCCCCTAGAGTATGATATATCTGTCAACCCCTAGAGTATGATTTATCTGTCAACCCCTATAGTATGATTTATCTCCCCTAGAGTATGATATATCTGCCAACACATAGAGTATGATTTATCTGTCACCCCCTAGAGTATGATTTATCTGTCACCCACTAGAGTATGCTTTATTTTTCACCCTCTAGGGTATGATTTATCTGTCAACCCCTATAGTATGATTTCTCTGTCACCCCCTAGAGTATGATTTATCTGTCAACCCCTTGAGTATTATTTATCTGTCACCCCTAGAGTATGATTTATCTCCCCTAGAGTATGATATATCTGTCAACCCCTAGAGTATGATTTATCTGTCACCCTCTAGGGTATGATTTATCTGTCAACCCCTAGAGTATGATTTGTCTGTCACCCTCTATAGTATGATTTCTCTCCTCTAGAGTATGATTTATCTGTCACCCCCTAGAGTATGATTTATCTGTCACCCACTAGAGTATGCTTTATCTTTCACCCTCTAGGGTATGATTTATCTGTCAACCCCTAGAGTATGATTTATCTGTCACCCTCTAGGGTATGATTTATCTGTCGCCCCATAGCGTATTTTTTATCTGTCACCCTCTAGGGTATGATTAATGTGTCACCCCATAGAGTATGCTTTATCTGTCACACTCTAGGGTATGATTTATCTGTCGCCCCATAGCGTATTTTTTATCTGTCACCCTCTAGGGTATGTTTTATCTGTCACCCCATAGCGTATTTTTTATCTGTCACCCTCTAGGGTATTATTAATCTGTCACCCCATAGAGTATGCTATATCTGTCACCCTCTAGGGTATGGTTTATCTGTCAACCCCTAGAGTATGTTTTGTCTGTCACCCCCTAGAGTATGATTTATATGTCACCCCCTAGAGTATGATTTGTCTGTCACCCCCTAGAGTATGATTTATATCCCCTAGAGTATGCATTATCTCCCCTAGAGTATGATTTATTTCCCCTAGAGTATGATTTATCTGTCACCCCCTAGAGTATACTTTATCTGTCACCCTCTAGGGTATGATTTATCTGTCACCCCATAGCGTATTTTTTATCTGTCACCCTCTAGGGTATGATTTATCTGTCAACCCCTAGAGTATGATTAATCTGTCACCCCCTAGAGTATGATTTATCTGTCAACCCCTAGAGTATGATTTATCTGTCACCCCCTAGAGTATGCTTTATCTGTCACCCTCTAGGGTATGATTTATCTGTCAACCCCTATAGTATGATTTATCTGTCACCCCCTAGAGTATGCTTTATCTGTCACCCTCTAGGGTATGATTTATCTGTCAACCCCTATAGTATGATTTATCTGTCACCCCCTAGAGTATGCTTTATCTGTCACCCTCTAGGGTATGATTTATCTGTCAACCCCTATAGTATGATTTATCTGTCACCCCCTAGAGTATGCTTTATCTGTCACCCTCTAGGGTATGATTTATCTGTCAACCCCTATAGTATGATTTATCTGTCACCCCCTAGAGTATGCTTTATCTGTCACCCTCTAGGGTATGATTTATCTGTCAACCCCTATAGTATGATTTATCTGTCACCCCCTAGAGTATGCTTTATCTGTCACCCTCTAGGGTATGATTTATCTGTCAACCCCTATAGTATGATTTATCTGTCACCCCCTAGAGTATGCTTTATCTGTCACCCTCTAGGGTATGATTTATCTGTCAACCCCTATAGTATGATTTATCTGTCACCCCCTAGAGTATGCTTTATCTGTCACCCTCTAGGGTATGATTTATCTGTCAACCCCTATAGTATGATTTATCTGTCACCCCCTAGAGTATGCTTTATCTGTCACCCTCTAGGGTATGATTTATCTGTCAACCCCTATAGTATGATTTATCTGTCACCCCCTAGAGTATGCTTTATCTGTCACCCTCTAGGGTATGATTTATCTGTCAACCCCTATAGTATGATTTATCTGTCACCCCCTAGAGTATGCTTTATCTGTCACCCTCTAGGGTATGATTTATCTGTCAACCCCTATAGTATGATTTATCTGTCACCCCCTAGAGTATGCTTTATCTGTCACCCTCTAGGGTATGATTTATCTGTCAACCCCTATAGTATGATTTATCTGTCACCCCCTAGAGTATGCTTTATCTGTCACCCTCTAGGGTATGATTTATCTGTCAACCCCTATAGTATGATTTATCTGTCACCCCCTAGAGTATGCTTTATCTGTCACCCTCTAGGGTATGATTTATCTGTCAACCCCTATAGTATGATTTATCTGTCACCCCCTAGAGTATGCTTTATCTGTCACCCTCTAGGGTATGATTTATCTGTCAACCCCTATAGTATGATTTATCTGTCACCCCCTAGAGTATGCTTTATCTGTCACCCTCTAGGGTATGATTTATCTGTCAACCCCTATAGTATGATTTATCTGTCACCCCCTAGAGTATGCTTTATCTGTCACCCTCTAGGGTATGATTTATCTGTCAACCCCTATAGTATGATTTATCTGTCACCCCCTAGAGTATGCTTTATCTGTCACCCTCTAGGGTATGATTTATCTGTCAACCCCTATAGTATGATTTATCTGTCACCCCCTAGAGTATGCTTTATCTGTCACCCTCTAGGGTATGATTTATCTGTCAACCCCTATAGTATGATTTATCTGTCACCCCCTAGAGTATGCTTTATCTGTCACCCTCTAGGGTATGATTTATCTGTCAACCCCTATAGTATGATTTATCTGTCACCCCCTAGAGTATGCTTTATCTGTCACCCTCTAGGGTATGATTTATCTGTCAACCCCTATAGTATGATTTATCTGTCACCCCCTAGAGTATGCTTTATCTGTCACCCTCTAGGGTATGATTTATCTGTCAACCCCTATAGTATGATTTATCTGTCACCCCCTAGAGTATGCTTTATCTGTCACCCTCTAGGGTATGATTTATCTGTCAACCCCTATAGTATGATTTATCTGTCACCCCCTAGAGTATGCTTTATCTGTCACCCTCTAGGGTATGATTTATCTGTCAACCCCTATAGTATGATTTATCTGTCACCCCCTAGAGTATGCTTTATCTGTCACCCTCTAGGGTATGATTTATCTGTCAACCCCTATAGTATGATTTATCTGTCACCCCCTAGAGTATGCTTTATCTGTCACCCTCTAGGGTATGATTTATCTGTCAACCCCTATAGTATGATTTATCTGTCACCCCCTAGAGTATGCTTTATCTGTCACCCTCTAGGGTATGATTTATCTGTCAACCCCTATAGTATGATTTATCTGTCACCCCCTAGAGTATGCTTTATCTGTCACCCTCTAGGGTATGATTTATCTGTCAACCCCTATAGTATTATTTATCTGTCACCCTCTAGAGTATGATTTATCTGTCAACCCCTAGAGTATGATTAATCTGTCACCCCATAGAGTATGATTTATCTCCCCTAGAGTATGATATATCTGCCAACACCTAGAGTATGATTTATCTGTCACCCTCTAGGGTATGATTTATCTGTCAACCCCTAGAGTATGATTAATATGTCACCCCCTAGAGTATGATTTGTCTGTCACCCCCTAGAGTATGATGTATATCCCCTAGAGTATGATTTATCTCCCCTAGAGTGTGATTTATTTCCCCTAGAGTATGATTTATCTGTCACCCCCTAGAGTATGCCTTATCTGTCACCCTCTAGGGTATGATTTATATGTCACCCCATAGCGTATGCTTTATCTGTCACCCTCTAGGGTATGATTTATCTGTCAACCTCTATAGTATGATTTCTCTCCTCTAGAGTATGATTTATCTGTCACCCCCTAGAGTATGCTTTATCTGTCACCCTCTAGGGTATGATTTATCTGTCAACCCCTATAGTATGATTTATCTGTCACCCTCTAGAGTATGATTTATCTGTCAACCCCTAGAGTATGATTTGTCTGTCACCCTCTATAGTATGATTTCTCCCCTCTAGAGTATGATTTATCTGTCACCCCCTAGAGTATGATTTATCTGTCACCCCCTAGAGTATGCTTTATCTGTCACCCTCTAGGGTATGATTTATCTGTCAACCCCTATAGTATGATTTATCTGTCACCCTCTAGAGTATGATTAATCTGTCACCCCCTAGAGTATGATTTATATCCCCTAGAGTATGATTTATCTGTCACCCTCTAGAGAATGATTTATCTGTCACCCCCTAGAGTATTATTTATCTCCCCTAGAGTATGATATATTTGTCAACCCCTAGAGTATGATTTATCTGTCAACCCCTATAGTATGATTTATCTCCCCAAGAGTATGATATATCTGCCAACACCTAGAGTATGATTTATCTGTCACCCTCTAGAGTATGATTTATCTGTCACCCCCTAGAGTATAATACATCTGCCAACACTTAGAGTATGATTTATCTGTCACCCCCTAGAGTATGCTTTATCTGTCACCCCCTAGAGTATGACTTATCTGTCACCCTCTAGGATATGATTTATCTGTCCACCCCTACAGTATGATTTATCCGTCACCCTCTAGAGTATTATTTATCTCCCCTAGAGTATGATTAACCTGTCACCCCCTAGATGATTTATCTGTCATTATATCCCCTAGAGAATGATTTATCTGTCATCCCCTGGGGTATGATTTATCTGTCATTAT